ACACTTCGGGCCAATGGATTAAAAACAGATCGATATAATCGACACCCAATCTGTCGAGCGATCCTCTAATCGCAGCTTTTGTTGTCTCAAAACCATAATCTGTTGGCCAAAGTTTGGTCGTCAAAAAGAGCTCTTCTCTTGGAATACAACTCTCCTAAAAATAAGTTTAATAAAAATATTGTTAATATTTAATTTTTATATTAAAGTATTAAACAATTTAATAATTAATAATAAAATGCTTACTTCAATGGCCTGATGGATGAGTTTTTCCGTTCCGTAGCGTTTGGCGGTATCGATGAGCCGATAGCCAACATTTTTAAGCGCATATACGACAGCCTCGTGTGAATATCCGCCGCTATGACTGGTACCTGAAATTATTGAACATTTTGACATTATCTATAATGATAACATTGATGTTTATTTAAACTTAAACCCTCACTAAAACTTGATCTCATAATAGACTTTTCATTATGTGTTTCATATCTCTTCCTAAATTAAAAATAGCGTCAAATTAAAAACTTAAGAATTTGAAGGTCATTAGGAAATCACTTTTACATTCATAGCATTTATACTCAATAATTATATCAATTGTATAACTATTGAATATTATAAAAATCAATATTAATTAAATGTCAAAAGAAGAGTATTGATGAATCTAGCATAATGTAACTTATACTAAAATATCAATACTAACATTATCGTATTTTTGTAGTTTTAATCTATAGATTACAATTAAAAGTAAAATGTTAATATAATGTTAATTCGTAACATTAAACATAATTCATGATTACATTATAATTATTGCATTATTAATGTTAAAAGGTTTTTGATCATTTTAAACAGATATTTTCCTGAAAATTTATTAATTACATTTTAGATCAAAATTTTTAAAAACAAATAATAAATGTCAAAATATACTGTATATTCATTATTTTTTACCTAATCCAACGTAAGGCATATAAACACCATTGTTTAATCTAATCCGTGATTTACTATCCATATATCTAATACTTATATTCTTCAGCCGATACACCGGTTATTGAGACAATTAAATGACAGAGAATTTGATTATCAGTGGAAATGCGCTCATATATGGCACCGATATCTTCGCGCACAAACACTACACAAACATTTGGCTCAAGAATATTCAGAATTTACTACTCGTATTGATCTGTGCCATAGATTCTATGGTCTATATATACAGTCTACACATAATTCACGCAAACTCTACACGAATAACTCCAACGATTTAAATGACACAGAAATTGTTTTTAGTCACACAAAAATAATATAAAATTCAATGCTACACAATTCAAATAATTGTTTGATATTTATTTAATATTTGACATTAAATACTTGCTGTACTTAAAATTAAATTAGTATAAATATCAACTAATGACATATATTGTTTATTAATAGAAATTCTAGATGAAAATGTCAATCTAACAGCCATAACTTATGGTTGTTTATTTTAAAAACTATAATTTACAAAGAAAAATTATGAAAATTAATGTGTCTAGCAGATATTTCTATAATTCTAGTTAAATATTATATTTTATTGATCAAAATAATATACTTAACAGGAATACAAAAAACTTAATGTCTAATTGATAATTACAATTAAAATGATTTTATAACAATTAATTTTAAAATGCAATTTAAATTATTTCTTAACATTCCGTTATAATTGGTATATAATTATTTATTTATAATTTATTATTTCCATATTTTTCATGTTACTATTTTGCCACAATCTTCTTCATTGCATTTATATTATCTTTAGTTTAAATGAATACAAATTTTGTGTTCAATTAACTATTGTTTTTGTCCAAAACATTTGTGACATTCTTTGAAATCGCAAACAAATCTCGTATTCAAATGAACACTATTTTGTGGACAAATAAACTTGATTTTTGTTTATAAATTTTGTCACAATTATTGAAATTACATTTAAATTGTTTTATTTCTGTATAAATTAATTGATGGTTTATTAAATGACTTTTATGTGTGTTTTTGTGTTGTTTTGAATTAACATTTTAGCCAAAGTCAATACAAATTATCATTAGATTTAGTAATAAGTTAATTGGTAATCTTAATATGGTAATTGGTAAACATTTTATTAATGATCTTACGTAAAATGCAATCAAATATTTGATTGATTGCAAAATAATCATTATTTTTCCATTCAATTGCTTTACACAAAACATTGTATAATTTGCATTAAAATAGACACACTTTTGCCTATTATTTCGCATAAACTCCTCATTGAATCCAAATTACACATCATTTGAATCAACGATTCGCTAATTAATTGTGAATTCATTATAACGTAATAATTTATTAGTTAACTAATAGCGCTCTCACTCTCTGTATATACTTTTCCTAAATAACATAATTGTTTGCATTCTTTGGTGACATTTATGCCACAATTAATATATTCTTTGAGCCATTGAACGATCTCTTGGATGAACTGATCGGTAGTTGTCATGTCGTCGAACACGTGATTCACAAAACCGATTGCGAGCGCTTCATCAGCGCTGACCACACGGCCGGAGGCCAACAGATCCAACGCTTTTGTGGGACCCAACAAATGAACGAGTCGTGTGCCGCCACTCCAGCCAGTGGTCACTCCCATACAGATCTGTAAGAATGCAATTTTGGCACTTTTGGTCGCTATCCTTATATCGCAAGCGGTCAGTATCTCAGCGCCGCCGCCCAACG